GCCGGCGCCGAGTAGCAATGCGCCTGCATCTGCTCCAACAGCTGGCGCTCGTCAAGCAGTTTCTGCTTGCGCCGCTTCTCCTCCAGCAGCTGCGTCTTCGTCTGCGCCAGGGTGCCGCGCAGCTCCGCTAGCTGCTGCGCGTTGCAGCGCTCGCCGGCCTCCCGGGCACTCAGCTCGGCCAGCAGCACCTTCAGCTTCCGATCCTTGGCCGAAAGGCTGGCCTGAAACGAAGAGATCATAAGGATTATATATATATATATTTTTTATACGAACTGGAAGCGTTTCTCTGTGGATGGGTCTCTAATGGAACCTCACCTTGACCGTATTGAGCTGCGCTTGGACCCGGTGACTGGGCAGCTTCAGCATGAACTCTTTGAGTGCCGCATAGAGCTGCTGGGCCTCATTGAGCGCCCGCTCCTGCTCCAGTGCGGCCACGTTCTGGCTGAGCAGCTGTTTGCGCAGCACGTGAATGCGCTCGAGCAGATCCATTTTCTCGGGATCCTTGCCACGCAACAGGCGCCAGCGGTGCACGTTCATGGGCGTCATCATTTCGTCCTGCAGGGCGCGTGCCTTGATGCGCTCCTGGTTCAGCAGGCGATGCATCTGGAGCAGCTCCTGGCGCAGGTCAGCGGCACTCTCACGATCCGCGCGCAGCACGTTGCGCTCGGTGCGCAGATTCTTGATCTCGACGCCCATCAGACGCATGTCCTCCTGACACTGGTTGCACTGTCGCTCCGACTGATCGTAGGCGTTCTGCAGGTTCTCCAGATTGTGCTGGAGTCGTGCGTACTCCTCGTTGCGCCGGGTTAGCGCCGCACTAATCGCGTTCTTCTCGTTCATTAGATTGTCAACGTCCTTGCGCAGCCGAGCCAGACGCTGCTCATCCTCCTGCAGCGACTTGGCATGCCGATCGTTCTCCTTGCGCTTGTCCAGCAGCTCGGCCTTGGTGTGCTGCTGGCCCAGTTGAGCGTGGCGCACGTCGTTGCGCAACAAGCGGCGCTCCTTCTCCATGCGATCGATCTGCAGCTGTAGCTTGCTCAGCTCCCCGTCCCGATAGCTGATCTTGCCCTTGAGCGTCTCGATCTGCGCCTGCAGATGGGCCAGCTGATCGCGCAGCTTCTGGCGATCCTCCTCAGCGCCTTGCAGGGCCCGCTGCAATCCCTGCCGCTCGCTGGTGAGCAGCTCATGCTGCTGCTGGAACTTCGAGCACTTGGCCTCCAGATCGCTAATCGTGCGCTTCAGCTCGATCTCGTAGTTCTCCTTCAGATGTATCTCATCTGGGGACGGAAGATTCAGCTGAGATCCCTTTGGTTTATTAACAATTCAATTGACTTACTCTGCAGCAGATCGATCTTGTCGATGCCATGCTGAATCTCGTCCATCTTTTTGGCCTTGTCCTTCTTCTGCTTCTTCAGCTCCTCCTGCAGCTTCTTCAGCTTCAAGTCCGTGCTGCTGATGATGTCCTTGAGCGCACGCACCTCGTGCTGCGACTCCTGGTACAGGGCTCCCTGCTGCTCGGCGTTCTGACGCTCGACCTGCAGTTCCCGCTTAAGCGCATCGCGCTCCTTGGTCAGATTCTCGTTGTTCTTCTCAAAGTGATGCACTACACGACGCATGGACTCGAGCTCCTTGTCCTGCGTGCCCAGCTGTGTTCTGCAAGGCATTTCAAATTAAATATACTGTGCAGAGTGAGAGACTCAGAGAGAGAGAGGCTAAATCAGAGCACCCACTTGAGCCGCAGGTTCTCCTGCTCCACCTCCTGCTTGGCCATCTCGAGTCCTCCGTATTTCCGTGCGATCGTCTCCTGGGACTTGGCCAACTTGGCGTTGTCTTGCCGCAGCTTGATGAGCTCGTCCTCGCGCACCTTTAGCAGATTGATGCGCTGATTCAATGCGCGTCTGTTCTTATCCCGCTCCTGCACCGTGTACTCCAGATCGACGGTAATCTTGGCCAGCTTGTTGCAGGTGCTGTTGTGCAGCGTGTTGAGGTGCTCCATGTTGGTCTTCAGCGAGAGTATTTGCAGATTCTGACGCACTTTCACCTTGGTCAGATGCTCATTGTTCGCCTTGGTGTGGGCTATTTGCTCCAGATACTTGGCCTCCTCACATTTCATGGTGGCCAGCTCCTTGGCCAGGGCATCGCTCTTGCGCTTCAAGTTGCAGGCATCGCTGGACGTTTCCTTTGGGAGGAGAGAGATCCATTAGCAGCTATTTGGGCTAACTTAACTTATACCCCTTACATCTAGCAGCTTGAGCAGCTCCTTGTTCCTGCCCTCCAGCGACTGAATGGTGGCCTCCACCTCCGCCGCATAGGCGCGCTGCAGCTGGAGGCGTTTGTTGAGCTCCTTGATCTCGTCGTTGAGTCGCTCGAACTCCTTGTTGTCATCGCGCCTGCTACTCCTGGAGCGCCCTTTTTCGTTCAGATGCTCAATCATCTCCTCGGCCGCATCCAGTTTCTGGCGCAGACTCAACACCTCGTCCTGTGCCGACTGCTCGCGTATCTGCGAGGCATCCTTCTGCTTCCAGGCGCCCTCTAAGCAGGCAGTCAAAAACTATTTATAATCTTCCTGCATTCTCACTCACCTATAACTCCGCGCAGCTGCTCAATGGTGGCCATGTCCAGTTTACTCTGCTGCGCCGCATTCTCCAGCTGCTGCTCCAGCTCGGCTATTTGCTCACGCAGCTCCTGCGTGCGTGCCTCCTCCAGACGCAGATCACTCTTGTAGCGCGTGCCACAGATGACCAGACGCTGCACATTGTCCGCATTGTTGGGCGTATCCTTCTGGCGCAGCGCCTTGGTTGCCTGCGGGTTGATAAAGGCATTGTTTGATAAAATTCAAGATTAAGCTGAAATGATGCCTTACTTCGGGTATCTTCTCGCACAGCTCCCGGTAAAAGTCATCATCGAAATCGTCGGGCACTAGCGGCTCATCCTCTGATCCGGAAGCCTTGGACATTTTGCATTAATACGAGCTGACTTTACATTGACTGCCCCCCACCTGGAGCTCTTCGTATCGACTAAACCAGCAGCCGCTACTTTGGCGTCCTGGCAACAAGTTGCCATACCGGCACAAGGCCTCCTAGCAACGACGCCAATCAACAGGTATGGACAAAATTACAATATTTATTAAGTTCATATAAGTGTCAACCTCGTAATCTCTATGGAAACGCTGAGTGCTTAGAGTTAGCTATTCACTAATAGTTAATAAATGCTAAGTTTATGGAATTGTCGGACTTATAGCTATAAATTATAATTTACATTTCTCTAATTTGACATCACAAAAGCTTCAGATCCTGCGCACTCAAAGGCAGGCCAAGGACTACGGCCACTCGTCCTCGAAGGGTGCGTCGTGCACAGTGTGAAAGCTTAGACCATTGCCCTCCGGTTTGTGCCATGAGGGCAGCAGCACGGTGCGCCAAAACGATCTAAAATGTGAATATACCCGTTCAGTACTCACAGCAGTGAAATGAAATGAAAACTTTTATTTATCCTACCTGCCACGCACAAGGCCCAGAAACAGTTTCCAGTTCTTTTTGGTGCCGAAATTGTAGGGATTTATGTAGACTCGTTTGAGTTGTAGCAAACGTTTGCGCTCAGCCTCGTTGATGTGCGCCTCGATGCTTGTCTCGCCGCGCGTGATTAGTTTCGCATGCCAGATGGAAAGGCTGCCCAGGGCAATGACCACCGCCACATTGACCACGGCCATAAACCATAGGACGCGACGTCGTGTGGGCGTGGCGTCTGGCGAGTCGGCCATAGGTGTGGGCAAATGATGCACAGCCGGCGGCAGCAAAATATCATCATATTCATTGGGATGAGTCTGTTAAGTAAATACAAATATACATTATATATTATATTCTACATATATAATTCCTGCCAAATCTTACAACTGCTATAACATGTCCACTCTGATTAAATTTCACTGGATGCCCCTCGAGCGGCTCCAGCTCTGTCCAGTGCTCGCTGTGATCGAGCCACAGATACTTGTAGCCAATCTCCACGCCAGCCACAATCAGAAACAGACAACCGAGTGTAGTGTAGACCATATAGAGAAAGAAGTAGCGATGATTGGCGTAGCCAACACAGTTATTAAGCCAGGCTAAAAGGAAATAAATATTATTCGAAGTAATCTCAAAATATTTCTATACGCACGACAATGATGATCCATTTTCAATATGCAGCGGTTGCAAACGGAGCAGTGATGCGTGCGTGGCGGCTTCGGTGAGATGCATTTGCTGCACATGCTCACAGCCTCCACATGAGAGATACCCTCGGGTGGCTGGCCAGCTGGTGTAATCACACCCATTACATAGTGGAAAATTATGTTCAGCAGCAGCCAATTGCCTATGATGAGCAGTACTATAGTGGCTGCTTGGCTCTTGGCCCACCAAAAGGGCAGCCCAATCCAATAGGCAATGGACACTACGGCAGTGGTTAAGATAGCAGTGCCTACGACAAAGAACTGAAGGGAAAAAATAAAATCGGTTACATATCGCATGATCAAATGTGTCTACCCGCTACCCTGTAGTCCGACAACTAAATTACTTACCGGACCCAAGCAGTGAGTATAATTATCTACAATCCAGAAGATGGGCGTCATACACACATCCGTAGCATAGCTGGAGTTCATGTGAGCATTAAACGTGAGTGAATGCCAGCAATGCTTCATATAGCTCCACCGTAGCCGAAATTTTGAGCTGCCGGCAAAAGAACAAATTATTAGGGACAAAATCAATTGACTAACCTGCTCCATACTTACACTAGATTTTGGGTAGAGCTTGTGCGCCATGTAATACGGGCCATTGTGTTAACTTTCAACTTAAATTCTATATATCTATTCTATTCTTATAAATTAAATATAAATAAATATAGTTTGCATTTTATTGCTTTATTTACAATCAGCTGTTGGTTGCAAAAATAACAATAGTGCTGCACAACGCTGGTAATTGGTGCAAGTATATATAATGAAATATATCGCACTGCCACCACAAATGCTATCGATAGACTACACCGATGAAAATAACGTTATTTTGCTATTCATTTTAGCGAAAATCTCTGCGTTAGATCGTTTTGTATAAGAAACAGTAGAAAGCCAGAAACTGTTGAGAATATTATGGTGAAGAGCGATCCATCCAGCTCTAGAAGGCCCATTGGCACCAATTGATAATTAATTGTCTTCACTTCGAGCCACAGCGCATCAACGACTTGATTGAATCGAACATCCGAATGCTGTAAATTAATGCGCTGCAGTAAATTACCAGATTCATTGGCCTGCAAGAAAAAATGCACTTTGTATTATATTATCAAAGATAAAAAATATATTTACCTCATCTATCACCTGTTGACAGACTCGCGCCAATACATAAATATCTGCCATGGGAATGACGAGGAATACAAGATGCGCCAAGGCTCGCGATATCTCATAAGAGATGTCTAGCATCCAAAAGTCAGCAAATGCCTGGTATTGCGTGTAGATGCCCAGCGTGGTGTTGGTCAGATTGATGGCCATGTATGTGACCATGGAGAAGGCAGTCAGATCCAAATAGTCCATGGAGGAGCTAGTAGAAACGGTATATTTGCTGGCCAGCTCGTCCAGTCGATCGGCCAGGTCACAGAAGCGTCTCATGCGATAGTAGTGCTTGTGCAGCATCATCTCCAACGGAGTCTGCAATCTGTTCACCTCCACCTGAATCTCACGCAGCCGCCTATTGATCTCGATGAGCACATTTCGGGTCACCATGATACCGCCAAAGAAACAATTGTTCAACTGATTGCCCAAGTAGATGGGAAACATCGTGTGGATGGTCTTCAGCCAGCTCAGCTCCGGATGCGTGTGCTTCTGGTACATGATCAGTGTCAGATGCAACAGCAGCGGGCATCCAAACAGCTTGAGCCCGGTCAAAAATGTCGCAGGCGCCACAGTGCCCACCGTGAGCCGGAAGTAGTCCATGGTCTTAAATAGATCCAAGTGATTCTGAAAGCGTAAAATCTCTGGAACCATGGCCCATTGGGTCACATAGTTCAGCATCGCTGCACACGCAAACATAAAGCTATAGATCTGAACCGGATCTCGGAGAGTCAGTTGCTTCTCGCTATACGCCTGCCAAAGGTGTCGGCCGTAGTAGGCGCTGAACAAGGTGGCCACGGCGAAGGAATAAACGGCCAGCGGCAAGCTGAACACGAACTTTTTCCTCTTGAAGTTAAAGCGACAGGGATATATGCCATAGAGAATATTTTGTAATATCAAAATCACCACTGAGACCAGCACCACCTGGCTGCCCGTCAAGGTGTTGGACAAGCGTCGGGGCAGACGCCAGAGTGAGCGAAGCCTACGTCGTGCCGCCTTCAAAAGCTTCATGATACTGAGCCAATCAAGGGAGCAACCCTCTAATAGGGGCGGCTACCTTATCACAGGTATTTATCATAAGAGCACTTAACAAATTAGACCTACATTAGATTTAAATCGTTTAACAGGAATGTTTGCTATGATTGGTATTTTTATGTAACCCTATTTAGTTACATAATAGTTTGACTAATAGACTTCTATTCTCATCTAACTTGGGTAGACTTATGTGAATTTAAATATCATTTAACTCTTTGAAGCGATGGTTCTTAAAAGAATAAAAGTGGAAGTGAATAATGTAATTTACTATAAAAAAGCTGAAATTAGGTCTTGTGCTTACAGAAATAAAAAAAAGTAAAAGTTTTTAGTTTTATAAGTTTGTTACTCGTTAATTAGAAATCTTATTACGAGACTAATCCACTCAATTTATGTACCCAAATTTTTGCACATTTTAAGTCCTTTCAGAAATATCTATAAAAAATTTATAAAGAAAATGCCATTCACATACCATAATTTTCAAGTCACATTTCATGCATATTCCAAGATTCCTAGTGAAATTAATTCACATGGAAAATACTCCCAGCCAATTCAGTTCGCTCGCTTTAATTTCATTAATAAATTATATTTGCCGTTAGTTTTAAATGAGATTTACTGAATCTAAAGTGGTTTGTATTCCAGTTTGGACTCCAGCTTTTTGTTGTCTGCCGTCTTGCGCACGGCCTTCATGAAGTCCTCGTGAATGACATATTCGCGGTCCTCGCGTAGAGCAAAGAGACCCGCCTCGGTGCAAATGTTACGCAAGTCGGCGCCATTGAACATGTCGGAGAGCTTGACCACCGCCTCGTAGTCGATCTCGCCCTGCTTGGCCAGCGGCGCTGCATGGATCTTGAGTATGTCTAGACGGGCGATTTCATTGGGCAGTGGTATTTCGAGTTTGCGATCCAAGCGACCAGGGCGTAGCAGAGCAGGATCTAAGGTATCTGGACGATTGGTGGCCATAATTATCTTGACCTGCCCTAAAGCATCGAAGCCGTCCATTTGATTGAGCAGCTCCATCAGGGTGCGCTGTATCTCACGGTCGGCGGAGGTGCCCTCCGAGAAGCGACGGCCGCCAATGGCATCGATCTCGTCCATGAATATGATGCACGGCTGATGGTCACGTGCATAGGAAAACATTTCACGAATCAGACGAGCGCTCTCCCCAATATACTTGTCCACAATGGCCGAGGAGACCACCTTCAGGAAGTTCGCATCCAGCTGGGAGGCGATGGCACGGGCCAGCAGCGTTTTGCCGGTGCCAGGCGGACCATAGAGCAGACACCCCTTGGGAGGATTGATGCCGACGCGTATGAAGAGCTCTGGATTCAGGAGTGGTAGTTCAATGACCTCACGCAGCTCACGGATCTGATCGCCCAAGCCGCCAATGGCCGAGTAGTCCACATTGCCGGGATCCTCGTGAGTCATGTTGTACACTTGAGGATCGACCTCGCGCGGCAGATACCGCATAATGGTCAGCGTGGTCATATCGAGAGCGACACGCGTGCCGGGCTTTAGCCTCGCCTTGTTCAGCTGGCGGCGACAGCCAACCACGTAGCGGGGTCCATTAGCGGACTTGACAATGAAGTTGTCTGGCGTCAACTGCTTGAGCACCTCACCCAACATTTGCCCCACACTCTGGAGGGCCTTCAGATCATCCTCGGACTTCTGGAACTCCAATTGCAGTTCCTTGTGCTTGTCACGCAGGGCTTTCAAGCGCGATTCGATCTCGCGATGTTCCAGGAGCTTGGAGCGATAACTGTTTAATGCACTGAGGCGCTCATCAGTTGCCGCGATTGACATGGCTATAATCTCAATTGGAGTAAAATTTGAATTGTTGACTGGACTTCAAAACTGCAAATCACGTCTAACGAATTTGACGTTTGAAACTAAAGGGGAGAAAATGAGCAAAGCACAAATTTGAAATTGTCAAATAAACCAAGGTTGCCCAACCGCTTGAGGAAGAATCGCTCGTGTCTTATCTGTGCCAGAAGTTGTAGAAAAATTAAATGTCATCAGAGAATTTTAAGTAAATGTGACGTCTCCGATTCAAGTTAGTGACTGATTTCCTTATAATTTATTAGTTGGAATATTTATTACTATATATATATTTGTTTAAACTTGTATTTGAATTTTACTGCCAGTTGATATAGTTATCGATAGCTATATAATTTCAAAATATCGATTGATAAATCATCGCAGTGTAACATTAAAAGAATCGAAACGACAGTTATTGCGTTTGTTTTATTAAATATTTCTTACTATAATGTTTTTTTTAAGTTAAAATGTTGTTTTAAAATGTATTTTTGAAAGCTCTGCAGCAACGTGTATTAACACTGATAAATATGAAGGAATGTTATGTTGATATGATAGAAAAACATATTAGTTGAATATCGGTATCTGTTAATAACAGCTAAGCACATGTTAATGTTAATCTAGCTGTTAAATAACATTCCACCTGGTTGATTGGCCGAATTTTTTTAGTCCACAAAAAACGCGTCGCAGATGAATTTTAATTTCGTAAAAACGCCCAAAACCTGCCCTCCTGTGTTCGTGCTGCAGCACAAAGTGTTTAATAATGTGCAGTGAGACGATAGATTTAATCAAAATGAATGAATTCAACTGCAATTCAGCAGTGCAATTGGCTGCTGGGAAAGCGAATGTGTAGACATGAAATAAAAGCAAAAATTTACAACGAACTGCGAAAAGCAGCAACAGCAATAGCAAGAGCAGCAGCAAAAGCACTAGCAGCAGCAGCACAGCCACAAGCAACGTCAACGGATGATTGCTTGGTCGGTCGGTTGGTTGGTTGGTCGATGCTAATAATTTCTCCGGAGGCTCTCTCTCTATCTCTCTCTTGCACCCATCTGGCGCTCCGCTGGACAAAGTGCGAAAAGAAAGTATATTCATTTATATGCACGTATATATGTATATGCATATGCATATGAGTGTGCCAGTGTGTCGGTGTGTTTATGTTGTTTAGCAACGAAATCAAACGAATTAGCTTAAGAATGTTTGTGTGCAAATATTAATTATAAGAAACGCAAAAGTGCAAAAATGTTTACCAAGAAATCGCATGCCGATGTTAAAAAGTCGACGGCCAAGCTGCAGGATTGCAAAAAGGATTCCGCCTCCCGCCTACGCCACCTGCGCACAATATTAGGTAATGTAATTTAAGTTCCAATTACGACTCTGTCGATAAATTATTTAATACATTGTAAGCAAACGCCAAGGAAAACGAGTTGTGTATATATGTATACATATACAGATGTATAAACTATGTATGTATGTACGTCTGTTTGCATTTTATTGTTTCTTTTGGCTGGACAGGTGGGCGTTTGGCCATGGTCGCTGATATTTAAATGAAGCAAATATTTAACGACAAATGCGGATTATTATTTAAATAGCAGCGGCCCACGGTGCCTAATGCCATTTCCTGTTGGAATCACAATAGCAAACATACATACAAACACACACATATAAACCCTTTCAGTATACTTTGTTTTGTTCTAACACTGTTAACTGTTATGTATTAATGTAGCTAGACAAACACATTGATGTAAACAAAACACTCATACACATGCATGCCTACATGTACTTGTTCTAAACAAAACACTTATACTCTGTAGTTGTTCTATGTCTTATACTCACATTGGTGTCTCTCATCGTAGTGACAGCTTAACGTAACAAATGGCATGCAAAACGGAAATAGTTACAGACACACATGCGAAAATAAGCACTTACACATGTACATATGTATATGTTTCCATACTGAAAAGTTGCATATGTATATGTTTCCATACTGAAAAGTACTTACTACTAATACTACTGCTATTTCTGCTCCCACTGTAATGTTAAAATTCATGGCTTAATACCAACATCACAGCAATGTATGCAAAACAGAAACTCACACATGCACAGCATATACATATATATGTATATAAGTGCACACATATATTTATATACATATTCATAATTCACAATGTGTGAAAAAACGTCAAATGATAAACGCACCACACTCAATTACTACAGCGCTTACCAACTGGCGGCAACTGTTGACTGAGTGGCAGCTTTGTTGCTTTAATTTCAATACTGGCAATACATATAAAATATGTACACACACATACATAGCATGCTTATGTGTGTAACTTTCTTTTTGTGTCATTGAACGCAGAGTATTTTGAAAAACCACCCAACAGGTGCCTGCCCACCCGCTCGACTCCATTGTTGTTATTGTTGTTTTTACTTGGCAAATTACATACAGTCTGTGCTATGCTCACACACTCTCACACTCTCTCACACACACACGCACACCAACACGTAGCTAGTTCTTTTTTCCCAATTGTTTGTAAGTTTATCAACAACAAGCGCTTCGTATTTGGCCTTCTATGAAACCAGTTTTAAAGGTTTCTTGGGTTACTCTTTCCGCTCAACGTTTAGCTTTCTTCTGTTTTGCAGCGTTTCGCTGATGACAGCTATGCCGCCGGCTATCTCTTCTCTCTCTGTCTCTCTCATGCTGTTTGCCCCTTAACCACTCTGACACTGATTCATCAAATGTTTTTCAACGCATTTTTGAACCCGCTTCTGCGGTTTTTGCCCATTTGTCATGTATGATTTTTCTTTTCTCGCGTCTGCAGCAAAACTTAATTATGGAAACCAATTATTCATATACATACATATTTACCCTTTATATATACATACATACATAGCGTTATCGGCGCACTTTTAGTTGCCAATCAATGTGGACAATGTTGCGTCACCTGTTGCCCATGTAGGAAGTACTCTGTGCTTATCACTCGGGTGGGAATTGGGTTACTTGGCTTAAATTATATTATACCATATGCTAACATTATGTACGTATATCTTGTCACTTTTGCAGATAATGTGGATTATGAGGAGTCAAAGTCGCTGTTCGAGACAAATTATAGCCATGTCTATTTCATACTCTACGACACCTTCATTCAGGCCGAGGCCAACCTTAAGCAAAAAGGTAATTATCTATAGTAAATCTAAAAAAAAAAAAAAAAAAAAAAAAAAAAAAAGAGTTTTCTAGTTCCCCATATACCCTCTACTCATGGTGATGTTAAAGTATGGGGTATGTTAACGTATTGCAAATATATGCAAACCCCGATCTTCATAAGGTGAAGGAGTTATCATCATTGTCCGAAGTATTTTTATACAGTAACGTAATTTAAGTTCGTGTCAATTCTATTTTCTTTTGACAATAAACGATATCGATAAACGATATATCGAAGATCAGAGAAATATGTAATATAAAATTAAATTAACCAATTTAAAACATTTCTAACAATACTATGATATATATTTTATTATATATTTAGCAGCTTAAAAATGTGTATGGGGTATTTGCTAGTCGATCATATCCGACTAGAGCAGTTTTATTTATTTCTTTGTTATTTTCTTTTGGTCCGTTCTAATTTGTTAATCTTTTTTCTACCAATTAAATAA